CCAAATGAAGACATTTTAGAAAAGCTAGAAGCTTTATCCTCTGAATTATATTGCACTAATATTAATCTTATTGAGTCATATATGGTAAGTAACCAGAAGTTACCCCAACGGTTCAATCGGATTTCATTTCGGAGAAAGTTGGATAAAAAATTGTACCCCGACTGGGACCAAAATTAGTCCCAATCAGAGACTACACACCAAACACCGCCCTGTTCAATTACGCCGATTCCAAATCCTCGCTCAATCACGGAAGCTGCAAAACCATGTCTTCTTCCTTCCTTACTTGGCTATTTAAGGAGAGCCAATTCCTCCATTTCATCACCAAAAATATTCATTCTTCCTTCTATCTTGTTCCTTGATGAGAGTATAGTGCAGTGGTGCTATCATCTTTGTGTGAGGTCGCCGGAGCAAAGAGTTATCGTCGCGGGAAGTTTTACCGGAAAATTCTCAAAACCTCCGTTTAACTTCGAGGTAAGCCTGTAGATATATCTAATGACTAGAATATTCATATAGGTTGTTTCTACGTTCACAATTGGTCATTTGGTTGATTTTTGTGTTTCACATGTTTGAAGAACTAAGAATCATAAACCTTGAATTTGATGTTAAAACTACAAATTAATGACTCTAAAATGATCTGTGAACATTGGAGAACATTTCTATATAATTTAATTGAAGTTTAGTGTTTAAAAATGATAAATTCGAAATTGGACAAGAGGAAGAAGATGGTGAACAGTGACCAAGAATTGATTAGAACTTTGTTCATATGAGATGTTCGAAGTCAGTATCAACTAATCGATTTTTCGCATCTGAATAATAGATTATTAAATAATAATCGATTTATCAACAAGACATAAACAGATTATTGGACTAATCAATTTTTCATCAATATATAAATTGATTTTTGGTGATAATCGATTTTTAAACTTGAATAATCGATTCTCCTTGATCGGTCCAGAGTATCGGATCGATCCTGCTCCGAAATATATTTCTAGAAAATGTTATTTTTCATCTCTAAAATCCTATTTTTGATACCAATTAATTATGAACAATATAAATATGATTTTTTAAAATAAAAATGATGTTTTTGTCATATAAAACATTATGTGATGCATGACAGTAAGTTCGGGTGTTAACACTCGAGACTAGGCCGCTATTTATTATTAAACGTTATGTTGAATGATCATTATGATGAATAATTATTATGGATAATTATGAATGATAAACCTACTGATTAGAATGATTATTGATGATTAAATCATAATTAAAATTGAATATAATGGTGATCATGAAAACGATGTATATTGTTAAGGATATCTAGAAGAACTCTAAGATATATACCCACTTGTATATTGGCAGTGGAGGATCCAATTGTAATGAGTTGGGGGTAAATGCCCCCAACTATTTTTTGTGATAACGTTAAAAATATTATTGGGAAAAAGACCAAACTAGGACTAAAACATTGAAAATATACCAAAATAGGACTTCCATGTTTTTATTCCCGAAATAGGACTTAGATTACCAAACATGGTCATATATATTAACAAAAAAGTATAGTAATTTGTACATGTACACTGCCACATTACCACAATGCAAAGTCACATTACCACAGTGCAAAGTCCTATTCCGTGGAAAAAAATATGAGAGTCCTATTTTGGTACTTTTCTCTATGTTTTAGTCCTATTTAAGATGGATTTCTAAATATTATTTTTAAAAATTTTATACACCTATGCCCCCAACAAAAAATTAATCTATACTATTCTTAAAAGCAAGGAAAGTTGTGCAAGCCTTTTTCTCGCCCAAACATTCATCTATTAATGGTAAGAACATTAATAGCCTTGGAATATTTTTTTGGTAATATATTACCTTTTATGCATTTAATTATAGAAAATATTGTTACATTATTAGGTTTATTACCTTATATAGCTTTTATTTAATGTAGATTTAATCACGGAAACATTTTTCAAAAATATAATACCTTTTATACATTTAATTATAAAAAAATATTTTTACATTATTACCTTATATAGCTTTTATTTAATGTAGATTTAATTAACGCGAGGTGCCTTGGTTCACCCAACGCTTTGATGCGAGAGTCCGACGCGGTTTTAAAAGCGTCTAGAACGACACGATGGCACTTTGTAGATGGTGTACAGGGCAACATCTGATATGTTCGATGAATATTTGAATATGTCGGCTCAGATAATCAGGTTATGTGTTTATAAATTTTCTAAAGATATTATTCGACTTTATCATAAAAGGTATTTACGTAAGTCGTCAGGAGCGATATAGAGTAGTTACAGGTTAGACATGCCGCTAAACACGACTTGGTCGGCATGCTTGGGAGCATCAATTACATGCATAGGAAATGGAAAAATTATCCCACTGCGTGGCATTATCAGTTCTCTCGGAGTGATCATCTCAAGCCTACTATCATGCTCAGAGCTGTGGCTTCTAATGACTTATGGTTTTGGCATGCTTTTTTGGTGTTGCGGGCTCGAACAACGACATTAATGTTTTTATCAATCACCTGCTTTTGACGAGTGGATTAATGAGACTGCATCTTACTCATCTTTTGACCTTAGAGGGAGGCTTTACAAGCGTGGATATTATCTTGCGGATAGAATATATCTAGATTATTCCATGATTGTCAAGTCTCTCTCCGAACCAATGGATCTTAAACGCTAAATCTACAAAAAAGCCCATGATGCAGCGAGAAAAGATATCAAACGAGCCATCGGAGTGTTGAAGGGTAAGTGGGACATTCTAGGTCATCCGTCCAAGTGTTATTTTCAAACCAAAATGAGGAATATCATGTACGCATGCATTATTTTTCATAATATGACCATTGATGACAATGAGTTTGTAATTTGTCATTACAACCCAGGCGAAGAGGTGCTTATGTACGAAGAAATCGATGAAAAAACGAAATGAAGAAGCCGCCAAGAAATTCGAACTTGAGTGATTCACAATGCATTAATGGCTAATTTGATTGAAGATATTTTTTTGTCGCTCGAATAATATCTAATTTCTCCGTCATGTAATGTAATTTTTATTTTTTTATTTATGTTATTAGTATTCAAATCTTATTTTTTTAATGTAATTTTTTTATTGAATAATGTAATTTTTTATTTAATGGATTATTGTTGTTTGAATTAAGTTAAATAGTAAAAATATTATTAATTTAATTTTAGAAGATGTGTATTTAAAAATGTAAAAAATAGAGGTTTAAAGCCCAGTTTGAAGACCCCGGGATTCAAATCTATTTCCATTGAAATTATGATGTAAGTTAAATCTGACGTGACAGAGAAAGATCATTCGGGTACTTTTTTATTGTGCAACCTTATGTCACAACATGGCGAACTCTTGTATGGAAGATCGTTCTTATATTGGCATTACTAGTTCGGACTGCAGAAAACTTACACAAGGATTTAATTATTGTTCCTTCAGTTTTATTCCTCGATCTTCTAACTTTTGTGCTCACTCTCTTGCTGCTGCAGCCTATGGACAAACTTCTATTATGTGTTGGGATTCTTCCCCTCCTGACTTTGTACCTCTTCAAATTTAATGCAATTTGATTCTTTTCAAAAAAATGTACCTTTCTCTTATTTGAGAGTAATGCTAGGGCTACGCCATTTGGTGTACCTCATTTATACACCATCATTGTTAACCCTTGATTCTATATATATTTATTTTTTTGAATAGTTCTATATATATACATATACATATACATACATATATATATATTATCAATATCTAAATTACGTGGTAGAATTACTTTAAGGGTCCGTTTGGTTTACGGAATTGATGGATTTTGAATTGAATTGGAATTGAAAATTCATGGGATTCAATTCCACCAATTCGAGTTCATTTTTTGCACTATCAATTCCAAATCCACATAATTTTTGTGCTGCCAAACACCAGTGTTGATATAGAGTTGGTATCGGAGCCACCGATCTTGATGACCTAAAAGAGTTCTTCACTTTCGTCGCCGCCGCCGGTAATTCCAGCGACGGCGACTCCACTCTATTCACCTCTATTTTCTTTTCTCTTCTGTTGAACCAATAAAAATCCAAAGTAAATCAGCACAAAAACAAAGCCAATAGGGGAAGTAGTGAAAGAGGAAATAAGACCTCTACAACTCACCTCTTCAAGAAGGAAATAGGGCATTGCCCGGATCTAAGAAAAAGACAAAAAAACGTCAAGGATCTTCAGTCAAACAGGCACCTCCAGTAGCCTTTTCTATTCTTCTTCGACGTCAGCAGCTACAAGCGCGCGTCAACCTTCTCTCTTCTTCATCAACGTCAGCAGCTACTAGCGCACGTCAATTTCTCTCTTCTCCAACGACGTTATACTTCTCTCTTCTCCAACAAGATTAGCAGCCACCGGGGCATGTCAGACTTCTTTCTTCTCCAATGACGTCAGCAGCCACCGGCGCACGTCAAACTTCTCTCTTCTCAAAGTTTCCAATTTCGAGCTAGTGTCCAAGCTTCCTCTTGCTTTAGCCAGAGTTCAGCTTGAGGGAGATGTTAGACAAGAATACTAATAGTACTTATTGTAGTATTGGTTATGGTAGTGTTTTATTGTTAGTCAGCTTCCTAATCCTATTTGTAGTAGATGTTGTATGTTAGTTAGTTTCCATTCTCTATTCCTAGTTGTGTTAGAAGTCTCTCATATATATATACTCTATCATGTACTTCATAATTAAAAGGAGCAATATTATTATTTCAATATTTCAACAACCAAAATTGGAATTGAAACTCACAATTCCAATTTTATAGTTTGAATTCCTTATACCAAACAGGGTCTAAGGTACATTTGGAATACATTTTCTTTTATACCCCTAACAAACATTTTTGGAAATTTGGATATCCCTAATGAAAAAAGCAGGAGGCGGGAGCATGACCCAACCGTAAAAGGACAAAATCACGAGAAACTTCGCGGAAGGTGCCCAGGAGCTATATTACTCCGTTATAAATGAGCTAAGCGTTGTTCATAAAGTCTCGTACTCCTACAATTTTAGCCGACTTTATCCCTCCTCCTCTAGCGGCGCCGTCACGCAACAAATTCCATTCCCCGTTTTACCCCTACCCCTATCCACAACTTTCTAGACCCTCCTCCTTCTACTTCAATTTCTCTGCCTGCATACCAGAGAGAAATCAAATCCAATCAATTGAAGGATCAACAATGGCCGCCGCCGCCGCCGCCGCCGCCGCCGCCGCCGCCGCACAGGACCAGCAGCACGCGGCGTGGCTACTGGAGAACGGGAACATAAAGCTGTTGAGCAAGGAATCGAGGCAGGGGCATGGGCAGAGCTACGGCCGGACGGCGCACAACATGTCGTCGGCGTCTCTCCGGAAGAAGTCCGATCTCTCGCTCGTGAAGAAAGTCCGGTGCGGAGTTCTCCGGAACCTTCTCATTTCCCTCCAGGAAGTTTTCCTCGGGACTAAGCTCTCCCTTCTCTTCTTCGCCATCCCTTTCGCCATTCTCGCCCAGTGTCGTCACTACGGGAGGGTACGTTACGTCACCTTGTCAATTTTTATTTTGTAATTTAAATACTTATTGTCAGTCCGCCGGCATTGAATTAGTGTTTTTTAAATTTATTAAAATAAATATGTACAGCCATGGGTTTTTGCTTTGAGCTTACTTGGACTCATCCCCCTCGCGGAACGCATCAGTTTTCTCACAGAGTAAGCATTCATTCATCAAACATAACAATTTCCTTCATTTTAACACCTTTTGTTTCCCATGACATTCGAAATCAATTTCCGACCCCCTCCCCGCCGTCCATACAATATTCTGTTCAAAAAAAGAATATTTCCTACCACCCATAATCCCCCACCCCAGCCCGGAACTCATCCACTCACCCGGTCAATTGCTTTCCACCAAATTTAGTTGGAGTCAAATTTTGACTTCTAAGTCAACTAAATCTTGTTCTCGTGGGAAGTAATTGACGGGGTGGAGTTGGGGTCGGACCACATGGGTGATTCCGTAATAGAGAGAATTAGGAGTAGAAACTATAGAACGGAAATGGTGCCAATTTCATTCTATATTTCTATGGCATGGGGGCTAATGTCACGGGAAGCCCCCTTCGTATAATTAGTACGTTGTTCTTTTTTAAAAATTCTTAAATTTTAAATAAGTATAACAAAAAAATCCTCAAATTTGCTTTGTTCTTCACGAAGGAGAGAATAATGCAAAGATATTTACTCTTGGCGGAAAAAAATGGATCTTGGACTATAAAATATTCCTTAATCTTCAGCCACAATTTTGAGCTAGGATTGAATTGGTTAAATGACATCAAAGATTTAAATTAATGTTACTCTCTTCGTCCCAAATTATTTGCAACGTTTGCTTTTTCGGCAGTCATGTGAACTTTTGTTTATTTTTACGTTTTCATTAGTTATTTGATAAAATAGAATATTCTTGACAACTCTTATTTCGAAGAACTTTTCATGTCGTTTTTTGATATGTAAATTTTATTTTTTATTTCTATACCAATATTTAAATAAAATAATTTGAAAAAACTTGATATTTTGCGTCGGGAATACAAATGTGGCAAATATTTAGGGACGGAGGGAGTAGTTTATTATTCAAATCTTGTTTTAAAGAATTTTTGACTTTTAGTTTTGGTCAAATAAGTTTTTATTATTTGACCAAATAGTGAAGATGTATTTGGGAGAGAGAGAGGGAGTATATGGGTAGTAGTGAAGTTACATTTTTATACATTGCTAAATGGAATTAATCATCAGCTAGTTTTTAGGCATATTATATTCTCTCTGTTTGCCCCCAAATTGACCTGAATTTATTTTTGTTTTGTTTTTTTGTTTGTCTATGCTGGAAATAAACAGACAAATAGCCTACCACACTGGTCCAACAGGTACTTGTTCTTTTGTTATTTTTACATAGTACTATTATTATTATTATTATAATCCCCAAAGAAATAAAATTAAAAATTAATGCTAGTAATTGTTTAGTAGCATTATATTCATACATTACAAAAATAAATATAATGCTACTAATTCATAAATTATATACTCAGAAATTAAAAAAACAAATTACAAAATTCACAGATTTACTACTCCTTATTTGTAAACCTTACTAAAAGAACAAAATGATTTTAAATATGCAGTGGGAGGTCTGCTAAATGCTACATGCGGGAATGCGACGGAGCTGATCATAGCAATCTTCGCGCTGGTTGAGCACAAAGTAGACGTCGTCAAGTACTCTCTACTCGGCTCCATCCTCTCCAACCTTCTCCTCGTCCTCGGAACCTCCCTCCTCTGTGGCGGCATTGCCAACATCCACTCCCCACAAACATTCGACAGAAAACAAGCCGATGTCAACTCTCTCCTCTTGTTGTTGGGGCTCTTGTGCCATGCCCTTCCAATGATGTTTCAACAAGTTGGTGCCGCCACCGGAGGAGGAGGAGGACACGATGTCCCTTTCGCGACCGCACAAGCAACCCTCGCGCTTTCGAGAACGAGCAGCATTGTCATGATCCTCGCCTACTTTGGTTACCTCGTCTTCCAATTGTGGACTCATCGCCAACTCTTTGAAGCCCCAGATGTACGTAATTTAATTACTCCCTCATTAGTGTTAAGAAATGTCCCACATCGGAAATCGAAGAGAAAAAAATAACGGGTATATAAGTTCTTGAGTTGAACTAAGTAAGCTCAGTCACTTGCGGGGCTTGAGGTTGAATTGTTTCTCTAACACCGTATCAATCAAGTTAATAAATTCAAATTCCATCCTAATGACGCTCTGATTTTCATGTTATTATATATAATTATGGATGGGTTAAATATGAATTGAATGATGAAAACAGGTAGAGGAGGAGAACGGGAACGGGGAATCCAAGGAAGAACCGGTGTTGGGATTTTGGAGTGCGTTTGTTTGGTTGGTTTTGATGACCGGAGTGGTAGCCCTCTTGTCCGAATTTGCTGTTGACACTATTGAGGTCTGAATTTGCTTACACTAAACAATGTGTAGTCATGAATTGCTTTCAACTTCCATATATCTCCAAAATTGTGACTAATCATATAATTAATATACATATATATGAAGGCTGCATCAGGGTCATGGGGTATATCTGTGAGTTTCATCAGTGTTATTTTGTTGCCAATTGTTGGGAATGCAGCGGAACACGCGGGTGCTATTATCTTCGCTTTCAAGAATAAATTGGTAATTATTATTCATTTAACTCTAATGACTTCAATAATATATAGTTTTGATGAACTATTGTCCTCTGAAAAACTCAAATGACAAGTGCTAAAATTGTTTCTAATGAACAACATATATATATAGGATATATCTCTGGGAGTGGCTCTTGGTTCAGCAACACAAATTGGTATATTTGTGGTAAGAATTAAATTCTTCTACTTCTTATTAAATTAGTACTGATTATTTAACATATTAGTTGTACCCGAAATTAATTAATTTATATATATATGTTGTGGAAAATCCAGATTCCTTTGACCATAATTGTGGCATGGATCATGGGAATCAAGATGGACCTTGCATTCAGCACCATTGAAACCGGGGCTCTTGCTTTGTCGATACTCATCACCGCCTTCACTCTACAGGTCCCTTTTTTTTCCTTCTAAAAATTCCTACTTCCGAAAACACGGAATCTGTTTTGAATTTAATCGAAAGAACTCTATAATAATAGTAATTGACAATGCACAATTTGCTTCGTTCATTTTAAAACTTCAGGACGGAACGTCTCACTACATGAAGGGACTAGTGCTACTTCTATGTTACATTGTGATTGGGGCATGTTTTTTTGTCACTCATGGCCCTCCAGGTAATCATTAATAACAACGAAATTATATACTCGAGTAAATATATATTTCCCCGTATCAATAAGATTGCAATCTATTCTCGAATCGTTTGTGTCGAATAACATTCGCATCTATATATACTAATTAAAGTTGTTATTCCGTTCAGACGAACCGCAACTTATTCATTTGGGATCAAACCATGGGATTTTCAGAGGCTAAAGAAGATTATTGGTGATGAATTTGTGTTTTCTTTGGATTGATGATATGATTATTCCCATCATCTTCAACTCCTCCAAAATTGAACATTTTGTGTGTGCAAGCAAGCAAAGCAATGGGGCGCCGGATGATATAATTAATAAAACGGAGTTATTGTTTGTCTGTGGATGCATGGCATTGTGTGTGTGTGTCTATTTTGCTATACATTTCTTGGAACAGTAAACTTTAGCTGAAACAGTACCCTACTATGTACTAGGAGGAATATGGCTGTGTTGTGATTCTATTTTTTAATTTATTTATTTAGAAGTTGTGTTGTGTAAATATAAGGGAACTCATAAATTGGTCATTGGGTGAGGCCATTTTGATTGATTATTCACTAGTTTTAATTTCATTCAGGTTGTTTAGCAAAATTCTTATGCCTTCAACTCTACAAATTTATCACATCTTTCACTTTAATTCATTCAATTTCATCTCTCTCATTTTACTTCTTTCCTTAATTTTCTTCATCTTTTTCATTTCACACAAAAGAAAGTTCTTCCTCTAACGAAGCCCTCGCGTGCCATGAGTATTTACCATTCATTCCATGCAGAGATGCAAAATGAAATCGATCAACAAGCTACGGCGGTCGCTACTTCTCCTGTTCCACGTAGGAGGTTGAACACTCACCCGAGACCGAGAGCAGGCCGCTCACCGTTTGTTTGAAGATTATTTTTCAAATGTTTCACGTTTTTTCTGATGACTAGTCTCGTCAATGCTTTCGAATGTGTTGTGTAATACTAGTTCGGATTCCAGAGGCACTCAGCTCATGATGTCTATTTTCAACAAGGATCTGACGTTATTGGAATGTATGCATTGGGGGAGGAAAAAGTTTCTCGTGGCGTGGAGGAGTGCACTCACAAGTGGTTACAAGGGCTCACATCTGACAATTGTGCTCGAGGCTGTTGCCGACCATCTACTGTGGATATGACTTGCGCACTTCGGAGTTGCCAGCTCGAACAATGATCTGAACGTGTTGAATGAATCCCCTTTATTCAACGGTGCGCGTGCTAGAGGTGCACTAGTCGTGCAATTCACTGTTAATGGTCGCCAATACAACATGAGATATTATTTGGCAGATGATATCTATCCATGTTGGCATGTGTTTGTGAAAATAATCACGTATCCAATAAATCTAAAGAAAATATTGTTCACGTAGAAGCAAGAGTTGGCACGGAACAATGTGGAACGTCCCTTCGGAGTTTACCTAGGCGGGCGATAGCGAAAGGGCCCACATGCCTGTGGTGCTGATTGTTCATCTTAGACATCATGTTTGCATGTATTATACTGCATAACACGATAGTTGAAGACAAGAAAGCCAATTTCTCTCATTTTACAGAAGAGGGACCTCATTCACTTCCAGGGCCTCCGTCGTCCAAGGTCTAGCGATTCAAGGCCACATCCCGATTTACAAAATTTTGTAAATTAGCATGCAAGTATGTGCGATAAACAAAGTCATGCTACCCTCTAGCATGATTTGATCCAAGAAATTTGGAGGCGCAATAATAACTAATTCTTGCATTAATTTTTGTTTTTTTAAATTTCATTTCGGTGAATTTTGTTTTCTATTTCAATATTGTTTTTTTAAAAAGGGTCAATCTAAACAATTTTATTTTAATTATATGTGTTTTTCTTTTTACAAAAATTTGAAATTAAAAATGATGAATAATGTAAAAGAAATGAAAATGCAGATTTTTAAGGACGATAACATACATTGCAAGACTTTAGGGTAGAGCTGAAAGTTACTAGAATGCTAAAGTGACATAAGTTGGAGTAAGGCAAAAATTTCTCTCAATGTAAATGCTCTTAAGACACTGAGACTACATGTAACGCCTCCTCCGTCATTCAGGCGCTTAACACATTCAAGGAGTTAAACACCGCCCCCTCATGGTCAATTTTTTGGTCGTTGCAAATTTTATTTTTAAAAAATTTCAACCATAAATATCCTCTCGTATTTTTAAAATACACCACAACATATTCTTTAACGCCCCGAAACCTTGCCTATCAGGATTAATTAATTAAAAATAATTAATTAATCACTGATACGGACTCAGTGTAATTTTGAAATATTCTTCGTTTGATAAAAAGGTTTATACCGTCGTGTAGGGTTCGACAAAGCAAATCCAACAACACAAACATATTCAGATTTGGAGCTCGTGAGCCTGAAAAGTGCATTTTAGGCCAGATACTTTAATTAATTACGAAGCCCAAAAACCCCAAGCATATAAATACTCCCCTACACGTCTCTAACCCTCACGCCACTCAATAATTTACGTAATATACTCCCTCTCTCGTATCTCTCTCTCTCTCTTGACCCACGAACAGCGCCGAAGAACCGAACCAGAAACTCTCATTTTCCTTCTTTTCTTGCGCTACAGGAAAAGAAATATTTTTTTCTACTACTATCCAATTGATGATGAGTAGTTCTAAACTCTCCTCAATATTGCTCAGGCAAGACTGTCTGATATTCTACCGGAGGAAGAAAGCAGAGAAAGACTCAGGCTAAGCTCCAATTAGATAAGTGGAGTTTAGATTATTGACAATGGAGGCTGGATACTTGTTTTTTGGAGTTAACCGGAATAAACTTGTAATTAATGACTTGTTTGGGAATTATAAATTAACATCTGATTACTTTGAAAACGATAACCCTAGACGATCTCCGTAGATAGCCTTTTCTAAAATGGTAACGCTATTCCCAAACAGATCCTAAATAAAGGTTATATGATATACTACGTATTACTTAGATAAAATAAAACTCCGTAGTTTAAAATTATTTTCCAAGTAGAATCTAATTAATTTATTTTTGTATCAGTGTCTGATATTAGTTTTATTTAATTTATAGCCAGAGTTTATCAATTTGGACTGAAAAAAGTAAAATTTGGAAAAATTTTAGAATTTGTTGTATAATATAATCATGTCACTTTTTGTTTTGTAAAATGCTAGATACTTGATGTAGTTTTTTAAATTTCAAGATTTTTTTAATTCCATGCTAATTTTTAAATAAATTATTTTTAAAATAGTTTTAGTTAAATATCGTAAACAAGAGACAACTTAAAAGAAAAAATACTAAGGTAGGATTAAAACATTGAAAATATACCAAAATAGGAGTTCCATGGTTTATTTTCGAAATAGGAGTTAAAATGCATTTACATTACCAATCATGACCTGATGGGAACTGAGCCCATCGAGAGAATACCAGCAAATTGGGCCTGGGCCCAATCTAGATCCCGTCCATCAAAAGAACAGAAAATCCGGCCCAAAGAAAATATACTGGGCCGGTCAAGGAAAGTTGTCCGTGAGGAGAGATAGGGAAAAGAACAGGATTGGGGCATAAGGATGGGCTGAACCCAAACCCATTATGAACGAGCCACCCAAGAGGAAGGAACCCTATAGAGGAATTAGGGTAAGCCGCCCCTCAACAGGAGGGACAAGGACAAGGAATAAGGAACGGATGAAGGACAGAGAATAAAAGATGGACGGACAGGTTTGTCCTCCAGTGGACGACTTCAAGCTAAGATACATCCCTCCAGGAAAAGCAAGGATAGCCTGAATATACTCCCCAACCACCGCGGATATTTTGATGAGATGGTTGCTGTGGAGCGCCTATAAAGGGAGGTTGGACTAAGAGAGGAGAGATCATCTTGTAATAGAGAGAGAAAATACTCGAATAATAATAAAAGATAATCCGGCGATCCATATGTATATTCCGATCCCTAGGTGGACCGAATAGAGGAAGGGATCGACGGTTTTGAGTTCCTATTTTGTGAGCCATACTTTCCATTACGATACATTACTATTCTCATATTATTTCTCACTGTTATAAGACCCGGATACTAGTATTTGGACCTGGACCGATCTACAGTCCCAGGGAAAATATTAGGCATCCATCATGACCGTATACATTGCGTTAAATGTGCATGTACAATGTCACATTAGCATAGTGTGAACGTCTATTTAGAGAATAAAAACATGAAGCTCCCACTTTTATACTTTCTATGTTTTAGTCCTATTTACGATGATTTCTTCTTAGTATGAGGGACGAGAGGAGTACATTTAAACTACTATTTCTAGTTTGATCTATTTTAGGGGCAGACACTACACACGGGTGGAAGAGTTCTTCCAATTTCATTCAGAGCATATTTTTTAGGGTTTAAACTCTTAGTTTTGAGTTTCTTCCAATTTCATTCAGTTTTTTCTAGTTTCTTCTAGTTACTTCAGTTTTTTTCCAATTTCTTCAACTATTCTCATTTTCTTCAAATTCTTTCTATTTCCTAACCAATTACTCTAAAAACAATAGTTTATAAATTATTTTTTTTCATCTCACTATTTTTACGTTTGATACTCATTATTATTATTATTATTATTGAACTTTTTAATATGAATAAGCCAATTTTATTTGTATATTAATCTACATGATAAAATAGGAAAACATCAATATTTTAAACTATATTAAAATATTATGGATAAAATAGTTACATAGAATGTTTTATTAATCTAACTTAATATAAGACCCCTCACATTTTCCTTATTACTCAATTTTTTCTCATTTTCATTTATTTCAAAATTTAATTTTGTTTTTCATTTTTCTAATTTTTATACGAGTAAAAAGATTTGAAAGTTAAAATTGTTTAGAGAAAAAGACTAAAATAGAAGTAAAACATAAATAAATGTATAAAAATAAAAGTTCTATGTCTTTATTCCAAAAATAGGAATTTCAATGAAAATAAAATGTCATTCATGAAAGAAAAAATAGGTTTGATTATATTATGTGGCATATCTGATATTTAAAACAAAATGTTGTAATATATAAAGTATAATTACAAATATATTATTTTATAATAAATACTGCATAAATAAATTGAGGTGCAACGTAACCACAACAACTTTTTAAAATTTAACATATTGAAATTAATGCTAACTTTATATTATAATTTTTTTTCAAAAGTTGTTTTTTTGTGTACGAAAAATAACAATTCTTTTTTATCTTAAAGACATTCATTAAGATAACGTGATGATGATAATAATAATAATAGTAATTTATAACAACATGGATTAGAATGAGAATAATATAAAAATACACTAAAATAATTTTTTTTTTAGGTTTTTTCATTTTTTTGATGTTTTTCCTGTTTCTGCAAGTTCTTTCTAGTTTTTCTAGTTTTTTCTAGTTTACTCCAACATCTAGTTTTTTTTCCTGTTCTAAAGAACAGGCTCTAACTATAGGTTGAAGGAGTAGTTATGGATTTTTTAGAGTAAATTCCATAAAAGATCCCCTGTTATAGTTTGTTTTACATATTTAGTCCCTATATATCAAATATCAATAATTTAGTCCTCAATTATTATACTGTTTTCTACGAATGGTCTTTTGTTAATATTTTTGTTAAAAACAAGGATAAAATTGTAAATTTACGCTCCCCTCTCTCTCCTCAATTAAACTTTCTCCCTCCTCTCACACTCCTTTCCCAAACCTTTCGATGAATTTGAAACTCTAAAACCAAAACCGAAATGATCACTCCTCCTTCAATCGTTCATCTTCTGGTGGAACCCAAAATTGAAACCAATAACCTTCGTGGAAGAGTTTTATGAGTGAGCCTCAGGAAATTGCAAAGAAAACAAACATTAAAACTCATACATAAAGATTACTGGTTTTGATTTAGATTACACCAAGAAGACGAACAATTGAGAGAGAAGTGATGATTTCGGTTTTAAATTCAAAACTTCAAATTCAGCGACGGATTTGAAAAAGGAGTACGAGAGGAGGGAGAAAGGTTAATTGAAAAAAGAGAGGAACGTGAATTTAAAATTTTATCTACATTTTTAACAAAAATGTTAAAATTTTGAGGGATGCTAGGTTTGGTGCACCCCATTTGTCTCTCACCCCCTCCATAACCGCTAATTTGTATTTACTTTTTATTTACTTATTTTTTTTTAATTTTCTTGCCTATTTGAGTGGTTAGGGAGAGGGTGAAACAAATGTGATACACCAGGTGTACCCCTAGTATTTTCCTAAAATTTTATCCACGATTTATAGAATTTATTTTTTTTAAATTATTATAGAAAGAATCGCCTATAACTCCTCTAATTGAAGGAGCAACGACATTGTTTAAGTATTCCAAAATGGACCATGCTACATTTACACCAAAAAATATACCCCATGTGTACACCACAGGCTTGCACAAACATTTCGATGGTTTACACCTACACAAGTGTTGGTGCGTTAATAAATATTCACACGGACACAAATGTTGGTGCGTTTAACAAAAATTAGTTTTACACCAACACCAACACAAAGTGTTGGTGCAAAGCTGCGGAGTACAAATTGGGGTACAAACCTTGGGGTACACATAGCATAATCCATTCCAAAATATAGTAGGGACACAAGTGTAAAAGTCCACAATCTTCTTCTGCCTGAATCTTCTAACCGAAAAGCTCAGTCGTCAGCACAAAAAGAACCCCCCACCTGAAGAAGCGTGCAGCCCAAGCGAAAGAATCGCCTGAACCCAACCCGAAACAGACTCCCTTCTCTCTCATCCCAAATGATCGATTTCATCCAATACACATAGGAAGAAGACGATCGCCTTTTGGGGATTTTTTGTTTGTTCTTCCAGAAGCTTTAAGCGGGGGTTTGAAGGCGGCGGCTGTGGCGGCGGTTGAGTGAATGGGAGGCGATGAGGAAGTCTTTTAAAGATTCACTCAAAGCACTGGAAGCTGATATTCAACACGCTAATACTCTGTATGTATCTTCCCCAGATTCTTCTTCTTCTTTATATTCCATTTTCAGCTCACTCAAATCTATTATTGCTTACGTTTTCTGGAGAATTGGGCGACTAATTCGTTAATTGACACGATCGGTTCCGTTTTTAGAAATTTGTTCTGCGAATCTATTGTTTGCATACGAAGAGGAACTGAGGATCCCAAACATGATGAAATTTCTCCGGATTACGGAGTATTTCTTTCCAATTGATGTTGCTTTGATGCTTTCCACTTTCTATAGCTGGAAATGTGTTTTTTCGTGGTGATTCAGAAGAGGTTTTTAAGAATGATTGAGCTGGTTTTGGTTGAAATGTACAGGGCTTCTGATTACCCAAAAGCTTATGGAGGTGCTTGCCTTCAAATGAGGCTGTCATACAGTCCCTGTGCTCATATGTTTCTGTTTCTTGTTCAGTGGACTGATTGTAAACTCGCCGGTGCTCTCGGATTGATCAGGGTCCTCATATACAAGGTGATGTTCTTTAGGGTTTGAATAGGTCCTGAAGTCAACAGATTACCATATGATTATTGATTGCAGGCTTATGAGAATGGTAAAACAAGCATGTGTGTTCATGAAAGGAAAGCTAGCATAAGAGAGTTTTATGGTAAGTTATTCTGTGTTAATATGGGGATTTCCTTCCTAAATTCCAAGTTATAGAGGAAATTCATTTTCAATATAATGATTTTCCATGGAAACGGGTTTTAGCGGAGAACATAAATTTTGCATAACATTTCAGGTAATATATTGGGCAAGCCATATATTCAGGTGTCGATAACCATCCAAAAGCTTGCATTACATATCTATGAAATAGCGATGCATTTCAGTTTTCATTTCTTGTTTTATTGTTTGACATATTGATCTTGAACAGGGGTGATATTCCCTTCCCTCTTGCAACTACAAAGGGGAATCACTGATGTGGAAGAGCGGAAGCAGAGAGAAATATTGGAGAATAAATACCGAAAAAGGGATGATAGTAATAGCAAGGGGAAGTTATCTGAAATTGAAGCAGAGAGGGAAGAGGAATGTGGGATTTGTTTGGAGTTGGAACCCAAAGTTGTCCTGCCTGACTGCAACCATGCTTTGTGTATGAAGTGCTACAGAAACTGGTAAGCATGAACTTGTGCTTGATTTCTCCCCTCATCTCACATCTCATTTTGATGACTTATCAATTGATTTGAATGGTTCAGAAATGTGATTTGGGTACCTTAAAAATTCCAAGACCACTCATCTCATTTAGACCCACCATTAACGGTGATTTATTGTTGAATCGACATTCAAGCAGCAGTTTGGTTGGTTTTGGTTGTGTGTCAATAATCAATATGTGGTTATGGCTACTAGTCGACTAGTTTTACACCATATTTGTGTCTAGCTTTTTATTGCTTCATCATTTTGTTGGCTGAAATCTATCCTTCCCTGTTCGGATGTGCTTTTGGACGCCATCATAAGCACCACAGTCCGTTTGTTCTTAGGTGCCCAGAGAAAGTTCATCACTAGTCGTCTGGGAGAGATTTCATGGGGACTCAATTATTCACAGCTAGATGACCCTTCCTGGTTTCTCTCTTTTTCATATTAAAAAAAAGAAGAAAGAAATTTCATTCTTCAACATCAAATAGACAATAGAATTCTTCTGCATCATTGTTCATAACTTCATATTTTGTATATTTCCTAATTATCGTAATATTGTGTTAGGCGTGTTCGATCACAGTCATGCCCTTTCTGCCGAGACAGTCTAAAAAGAGTGAACTCTGGAGACCTTTGGATCTGTACAAACAGTGGCGAAGTTATCGACCTGGCTGCAATATCAACGGAGAATTTGAAGCGACTTTTGTTATACATTCAAAGCTTGCCTCTCCTCTTCCCAGCAGATCATTCGACACTCGTTTCCTATGATCCCAGCTGCAGATAACACCAAACTTAATCTATTTACCCACACGTATATCATAGTTATATATAATTATATACTTATAATTATATAATGATACAGATTGGATGGTCCTATTTTTGTACATAAGTAACACAACACATCCCAGGGAACAATTATTGTTTTTAAATCAGGTTTCTTTTATATAGTGCTGCTCATTGCTTGCAAATATTGAGATGAAGTCATCATTATATTTGCTTTGTTTATTTATTGGGCAAATAATGGGTAACGCTAAGTGTGACCCAAGTTTCTCCCACCCTTCATTCCGACACGCATAGACGAACACTATCACTCTGCGTGTTGGTAATAAATAGGGGGCAAACTTTGAATCACATTTGGGATACAAGGACGATTTATTATACAATGTTTGGAACAACGACCAAACTTGCTCCCACTTGAATTAGATTGATAAAAAGTGACTAAGAGATTGTTTGGTGAGTTTTAGAAGTATGATAAAATATGTGTTTTGAAATCTAGAAGAAAAGAATATGAATTTTGAAATTTGAAACGAAGCTCTTTAGAGAAATTTAAAATCATTATTTACTTAATGATAGGCGGGGGCAACCAGATACGAGAGTACTTGGCGGTGACAATGGTAGTCGGTGACGGAGAATGATCAACGGTTGAGAGAGATATCAAGATCTCATATTGATATCTACTAAATTTGAAAGATGTGGAACCCCTCCAGACTTCACCAAATACCAAAAAAGATTACTCCCTCCGTCCAAGAATAAACTTCCTACTCTACCTTTTTTTTCGTCCGGAAAAAATCTTCCTACTCTACTTTTTCATACCCACTCTTCCAAAATTACCCTTCTTCTCCTTCCCCATCTCCCCTCTCTTTTCTACTCCTCAATCGCCGCAACCCCCCCCCTCTATATTTTTTTCTTTCCTACTTCTCTATCTCTCTCTCTACCCCCTCTCCTTCTTTTTCTTTTCTCAAGATTTTCTTCTTCCCCACGCCCAAATCTGGCCTTATCTTCATCTCTCTCCCCCCCTTCTCTCTTCCCCCTTTTTTTTCTGGTTTCTTCACTTTCCTTTCTCGACCAGATCTGGCCACATGCTCTCTTCCCGCTCCACCTTCTTCTTCT